TTCTTAAAGGAAAAGGACAAAAACATGTGATATTAAAAGTAAAGATCATGGTGAAGATCATTTAATTATTTTATAAATACTTCTTTCTTTATTTCAGTATACAAAATAACAGTATGTACATCCACACAGAAGTGGTTTACAAAATCCATGAGTTCAGCTCATATGCTCTAAAAATAGAATATATTTTTGAACTGACTGCACGTCAGTCAGACATGGAGGAGATAATGCATCATTTCAAAAAGTTCTTTAATAGTCCCCTCTAAATCCACAGGGATGCAGGCGAGTCAGGATCCCCACACAGGACCCACGGTGAGAGTCCAAAAACATCAACCATAAAAGAATGTCCATGATTGAAAAGTTCCCTTTATGTTCTCTTTTTCCTCAATAGTCCATTTCTCTGCAGCGGAAAAAGTTTTAATAGTACCTAAAAAAAAGTACCACATGGTTCCAACAGAACCGTTCGAATCCCGTGGAATGAAGTCAAACATTAGTCTTGGTCGAGTGAAGAAAAAACACAAAGTCCTCTCCTCCAGCATAAAATCCAATATTATTTCTTTTTAATAGAGATATAATAAAATAGACTTTCAATATCCCTGGTTGGGAATTTATGATCATTAAAATGGAAAAACTAAAGAAAAAGAACCCAAGAGGACGGCGGTCTTCACGCAAGCCCACTGACTCTGTTGCCACACTCTCCACATCCAGGTTTGTGACGCGAAAAGGTTTAGAAGCCCGATTGGCAGCTCGGACATTCAATACAAAAATGATACTGACAAGAATAGACGACTTGTTCGTTGAGATACACATGCTAAAGCTGAAGGCCAGATCGAGCCTTCTCGGAATTGGTAGTGCTTTGGTTAATCTGCTTGCCCCCGGGTGGCTGACTACATGCAGAGGACTGATGGTGTGGCCGTCAGCGGAATCATTTACAGACGTATCGCTCCACGATCCGCTCGCACTTCTTGCAGGTCACGTAGCAGCACCAGTGATACTTGCAGTGGCAGCGCTCCACCAGCTTCTCGCTGTACGGGTTGTAGCCACGGCCGCAACACATCAGGTCACAGCTGTCACTGCCGAGGGACGTTTTGTTGCACTGCCTGAAATTAGCATAGAAAAAGAAGATATTAAATAAGACGTGGAGCTAATGTTTCCTGCCTAAAACAATGAACTTTACAGCCTCGTTCTAAAACATTTTGCACAATCTTGCAGCCTATAGAGAGACCACAATAGTCCCTTAAAAGTGCTCGACCGACCGGCGTGCCTTAACCTTTCGTGCACTCCTTCCTCCAAACATGTTTTTCATTCATTTGCTTTTTGTCTCGTCGTCTTTAGGCAGTGGAAGCTATGGAACCTCTCGTTCCAGAAGCCAGGGGCATCTTAAATGAGAGAGAGAATAGCCCCGCCGTAAATCACACTGAATGCACAGGGCTGCCCTCCCTCTCTTTAGCTTGCCCTCTTCACATAATTGCATTGTTTTACGATGGCAGAGTGTTAATGACCAGTGTGCTGAGAGCAAAGCTGAGCTGATGGCTCCTGTGGGAGTGAAGGAGGTGGAGGAGGAGGAGGGACTGGGTGTGAGACAGGTTTATTACATTGCTGAGTGCTTGGAAATAGACAAAAACTCCCACACAGTCATGGTTTGTCAGGAGCAACAACTTGTTATGTCACTGCTGTGCTGGAAAGTGAGCAAGCGGACGGGACTGTACATTCTGTAGCTCACATCTGCCGCTATAGAGGCAGAGAACCAATAATGTAATTTAGGACTAAAGGACAAATTTCCCTTCCCAGGGCCATGACATCTCTTTGTTGCACAACTGATCACACTTTGTTCATCAGAACCTGCTGCTAAAACTCACTTTCCCTGCTCCACATACTCTCATTAGACCAAAGATGTGACTCCAGAGCACGACATTGAAACCCATGCACTAGCACAAACACACACAAAGGTTGCAGACTGTGCATGGCTGTTGTGTTATCATGCAAGGGACACATCAGGCTCAGTGAGTGTCCCTGACATGAGGCATGTCTCCTGGTTATCTGTAGCGCGGCCTCAGGCCGAGGGACACGTAATGTAGCCAGTCCCACGATGCATGACATTTACAACATACAACACCACCACGTGCCATTCGGTGGAGCTCATCGTAGAGTCGGCTATGGACAGAGCTGCACCTTCAGTATCAGTCTATAAATGAGTATAGTGCAGTATAAATTAGTTTGAACAGTGCAAGTAACAAATCCACACATCTGCAGGCGTCTGATGTTAAAGGTTAAGATACTGTGCGGTCAGCCAGAACTCACCATGAGGCAGACCCTTATTCCCACAATGTTCTAACTGTTTAACCACGTTACATGCAGGCAACAGCGTTGTGAAAGTTACTGTTCATGTTATTGATCACATACTTGCTTAGAAAAGCAGAGGATACTACTGGAGGATTACAATAGAGGGCACACAACAGAAGTTAGACTATAACCTGAAGAGTGATCAGCTTTATAACCTTTGATGTTATAGAGACAGAAAAAAACAACAATCACCAATTTGTAAATGGATAATTCTGGACCTGGTCACACAGCTTGTCTCCAAAACTCTTCACCATTTCTGATAACATGCCCACTGACCCTGTCATGGACTCACAGCTTTACGTGGTGCTATTGCGTCTTGCACACACGTCGCATTAATTTCTGAGGACGTGCAGAACCTATTCAACAAATAGACGCAGGATACGCGAAGCAGCCATCTTGTGTACACATAATTAACAGCAAGTATATTCTGACCCTTTGACAAAGGGTTGACTTACTGCCCACTACCTTCTCACAGACCACACACTGGATCTGAGTGGTGTAAGTATGTTTGCTTTATCTTTGGGGACCATTAACTGTTTCCCCATTTGTGTGGCCCTCTCCAATCAATATCAGCTCTGGTGCACTCAGCCCTAAGAATAACTTCATTAGTCATTGTTTCAGATAACAGGACAAACACTCCAGTCACAGTGGCCTTTTCACTGACACATGCTCAGACAAGCCACAGACGGAGCACTCTCAGGGGCCACTGGTTGTTATCAGCCAGTCTGCAAACTAAACGGTGCCACCACGTAGGGCGGCACTTCACTAGAGTCAACATCCTGGATGAGCAGACATCCAGGATTGGTCATTTCCTGTTTTTCAGCTGTGTGGGTCTGTCAACAATGGCAGTCATGCCAGCAAATCAAACCCCAAACAATAGATCATTACCACCAAAAACCCTGTTTCATCTCATGCACTCATGGTCAAACCCAGTTGACGTGACGGTCTCACCTGTCCTGTGTGCCGACAGAGCCTTGCTTTTCATTTTTGCTGCAGAAGTCCGGGGAGCTCTGCAGGTAGACCAGCTCGTTCTCCCTCACCGGCCTGATGTCGATATCTTTAGGTACCAGCTGCTTGCGTGTTCCCGTCGGCCTGTGGACCACTTTGGTGGCAGACAGGTACTTGGTCTTCAGGTCCATGGCGATTTCCCTCAGGTCCTGCAGGCCTCTCCAGCAGGTTCTTATGGAGCAGGAGCCGGACACACCATGACATTTACATTTCATCACCAGAGCTTCTCTCAGAACCTTTATATGAAGACAGAAGACAAGGAGGTTAGTTAGGGCCTACAGTGTGTACAAGTAAGATAGAGTGCAAGCAATGTACGCAAAACTGACATAAATAGAATTAAAATTGAGACGTTTCAAAGGAAACAAGGTGTTTGCATATTTCCACTTATGCTGAAAATTCTCACCTGTCTGCCGACCTCACTGTTGTGCAGGTGCATTAGTTTGTTGGCATGTGAGCCCGGGCGCTTCATCTTCATGGGAGCATCAGAGAATTTGGAGCCCATGAGCAATCCGTAGTGCAGGTTGTCGCCACAGCCTCCCCAGCGATAGCCAGGCTCGGGGATCTCCGCTGGGATGGGACCGCACGAGCAGAGGCGCAGATCTCCAGAAGTGCACGCCCGCGCTATGGTGTGGCTGATGGTCGCGGCGGAGAGGGCGTAGACAAAAGCAGCCTCTCTCGTTCCTGCCAGAACAGACATCAAATTATTAAGGTGCAAAAAGTATCCAGGGTTTTTGTCGGCCATGGGCCTGCAACAATGAAATCAATTTAAGATAATTTTGACTGCAAATACAGTCACTGGCCCCAACTGAAACCTGATTGGCCCCTGAAGTGCCCCTGTCCTGTTAGTAGTCTTGAAAAAACTTCATAGACTTCACTACCGTACTAAGTAAATATGACCATTTAAACATTTTATTTTCTAAGCTTTTTTGAAATATATAATGTGCTTGAACAAGGAAATGTTTTAAATATATTTAATGTGTGTTTGAGCGTCTTTGCTCAAAGCAATAGAGTTAACAGTGAACAAGGAACAAATTAAATGTTCACCTTGCTGAATCAGGAATTGTACATGTGTCAGTCTATAAATTAGTATAGTATAGTTTTTATATAGTATAAGTATAGTACAGTATAAATTAGCCAAGCTGGAATTTGCAAAAAGGCTGTTTAGGACTTTGGTCTATTAATGATTAATAGTTGCT